AATCCTAACTAAAATATACTGAATGTAATTGTGCTTCTTAACCGGGACAATGAAGGTGGGGTGACTTTAAGACCAGGGCTGTATGAAAATAGATGTCTAAAAACCATACAGAGTATTGATGAATAAAACCAAGTGATTAGAAAAAGTTTTGGTTAATTGGACCCTAGCAAATATTTATTACTAATCAGTTATTGAGACAAAAAAATTGTTAACTTGTGGTTATTGTTGGTTTGGGTGACAGAGGCTATCAAATTATGATTTCTTTTTCACTTAGTACAACATTTTATCTGCTATGACATATAAATGTTACATTTGTTAAATTTTGTTTTTAGAGGAATTCATGATTTGCTTCTTCTCATTTAGATTATCTTGTTATCATCTCATGGTGTTTTAAACACTTGAGAATTGAGTTGTACCGGAAACTTTCTGCTGAGTGATTCACTCTGTGGGTTTGCATGAAAGGTTTATAAACATTGCATAGTTTAATTTCTTGAATTAACAAGGAAGTTAATACAGTATAATATAGCGTTTTACATACATGTTTGTAGACCTACTTGTGTGAAAATTTGTATAATTGTTAGTTATTCTTTATGAATCAGTGAATGAACATACTGTTATCACAATGGAATATTTATTTCTAATTCACTTTAGATATGTCTAGCATTTTGATATCTTTAGACAAATTATCGCTTGCAGTACCAAATTTCGCATTATTTATATGCATTTTAAAGGGACAATAACACTCTTGCTGGCTTGAAAGCTCCAGAAAATAAATAATATCTCTATCTAAGTACTAGATGTTTAAGTGTCCTACCTGTTGTGTAAATTATCCATTACATCCTATTTTACTTGTCCAGAGGGTTCGAAAATATTTTTAAATCGAAGTTTCATTTGAAAAGGTTTACGTTAGACGTTTCAAACCATTATGTTGAATTTTTCAAAATTTCTAAATAAGGTGTGTTAAGATGAAATTTGTATCATCAATTAATTGAAATATTCTAAAATAGTACAATTTGTTGACCAGAATAAAGATTGGGACATATTATTCAGTTACAACAAGAGTGGTATTGCGCCTTTAACAGCTAGCTTGTGAGTTGATTTATATCATAATGAAGAAGAAAAAGTTGCTGGTTTTTATTAAGCTGAAAGTATCAGTATTTATATGCCTAAAATTAAAGAGGTATTATCATCACTTTCATCAAGAAACTAAATGCCAAATCTGTAGAGTAAGAACTTAATACTTTCTGGTAGACCATGAGTAGAAAAATGTATTTCGTAATAATTAACCACTTGAGATCTGTACATTTTCTTTTGTACACAGCTAGCAAAGGTCAAGGGTTATTGTCAAAATTTCACAACAGTCCACACCTTTCTCAAATATTACTAGTTAAACTGCCATTTCCATATATTCAAAGTTTATTTATGTACTTAGTAAGTAATGGATTGCTAATCTTCTTAAGAAAATATGATCCAAATTTAGCTTTTGGTTCATGATCACATGCTCTTAGTTTTTTTCAGCTCTTGCCCCGCCTTATCAGACCATAGTTTGTTCTGGGCTTTTATAAGAAAATGATTTTTTTTACATTAGCTCTTCATTCACAATCATGTTTAACATCGACATCGAATGTGTCTACTTTCTAACCAAAAATGATGTCTTTCCAAGTAATTATGAATAGTTATGTAATACATTGTATACATCCATATATAAATCAGTACACTACTTGCATTATATGTTTCTCTTGACTGTATTTCTTATTAATTTGATTAAAATGAAAGTGATCAAACTGTAACGAAATTCAAATGGCTACCAGCTCAACTATGAATAAATACATGCATTTATCTAAAAATTGTGAAAAAGGTGTTGTTTTATACTAAATCTATATAGATTTTGTTCATAAATGACACTAATCTCTAACTGAATAAATTTGTATCTATTTAAAATGATTTTAATAAAGACGATAAAAGATTCCCATATTTACAGTACAGTTACCGTTGTTTAATATCTCTATGAATCTTATATATAAATGGACCTTTACTTATACATACTTATATCTTAGATATATAATACACCTAGTAAGTAAATGGTATAGCTACAAATGTGGGACTTGTCATTTATTCATAAATCTTATTTAGGGATAGTGAATGAACTTAAATGGATGTTTCACATATTATATAAAACACAGATTTCAGTGCTGACATTTAATAACATGATGGAGATACATTAATTACCAGGTTAAACAATAACTTCATTTAGATATGAAGATGATCGTCTCTTACAAATCTCTGAGATCCTTAAGCCTCGACATTTGTAGAGTGATTGAAATTGCCTAAATCATGACCCCAAATGACACAGAGTGACTTAGAACAATCTTGAGAACATGACTGAGTGAGATTAGTTTTATTTTCATTGTTGACTCACCTACAAACACCCAATAGTCAGCTAGAAACAGATAAATAAGTTACTGTTTTGACACGTCTGTTGTACAAGGGTTAACGATATCATGGCCTTTATGAAAACTGATGGTCAAGGGGTTTTATTGTGTATATATTCAAAATTAAATTTAGTGATATAAATCTTTATGCTTAAAGATTTCATATTATATATAATGAGATCCCAGTGTATAATTGATATTAAAGATACCTGTTTAAATGGGAACTACAGTGGTTTGGCGCTGGCACACTAACCAGAATGTCCCTTGGATTGATCACAGTGTTGGCCCAAAAATTTCTAAAGGAGTTCCGAGACTTGTTCCTCTGTGGCAGTGGTGCAGGACAAGAGGGTTTTGTCCTATGTGTACCATGGCATTAACAGAATGTTAAAGATTCCTTGACAGTTGAAAATAGAAGTAACAGTAGGCTGTAGCTCTGCTGTTTGGGCACAATTTTCCCCATAGTACACCGTGTGGTCTATGCCCGTCTTTATTAGCCTCTTTGTTGCTGAAAAGTAAGACATTGAACTTCGAACCCCCATTTCATTTTGTTATAACCTAGGGGTATGAAACTGTGTAAACCTTATCTAGTAGATAGATATTAATCTAAATTAAAATGCACATTAATCTGTGATCCAGAATGAAATAACTAAGGGTAAGGGTTCATTATAATAATAATAATAATATATTTACAACTACATATGCATGCATGCGAGTATGGAATATATACACAATATTAGAGCCTGTCCATTCAAGATGGTCGCCTATCCAGCCTCGTGGGTTTTCTCCGGGTCCTCCGGTTTCCTCCCACTGCTAAAGACCCCTACGCACAAGCGAATTATTGAAATAAAATTAAACCATATGTTAGTCCCGAAATGACCTAGTTTGTGTCGAGTGGACGTTAAACCCCATTTCTCTCTCTCGCTCCATTCAAGATGGAGCCTGGTGTTGTAGATTTTGTTGACAAACAGCAATAAATCAATAAATTTTACAAGCCTTTAGGTCATTCATCGTCACATGCATTCTTAACTTAAATCTTTAATGTTTACATCTGTCAGCCATGATAAGAAATATATAGCCACTACATGAAGGCAGTAGTACATGTATGTCTAACTGGTTGTCACTTGTAGTACTGTCTTTAGGTGGTACAAGTACCTTAGGCATATTTTAAATTATTGGGACACTAATTCAGTTAATTTTTGAATAGTAATATTTATGAAATCTTCGGTATTGAATATGGACTACTGATTACATTGCCCCGATAGTATTTATCGGGAGGTTATTTCGAATAAAAGTATGGCAAATTTGGTATATATGGAAAGTATAGACACCCAATCTTACAAGAAAAATACTGGATTACCACAAAAACATGCATGGGGCAAGCACTGGGCAAAAATTTCAGAGTATAATCACTAACTGGCATCCCGATTGTTGTCTGCCAACTTATTGTGTGCTAGCTTGACTAAGGGAGCTGTTATTATTTCTTGATAAAATGGTTAGGCAGTTTTGGGAACATTGAGGGGTGTCAATGCAATTAAACAGCAGAAAAAGAAGTTGAGAGAAAGTAATTAAGAATTTACTTAGGCCTCATTATGTACGGTAAATGAACAGTAAATAATGAAAAATACATTCAGAAAATGAGGTGACTGACATGCCGTCTAACAACAGTTTATTTATAGCTGGAGATATTGCCCCAGCAAATACAAAGTTTTGAGAGGAATTTGAAGCAAATGTTTGATAGATTAATTAATTTGAATATGTTTTAGTCCAAATATATCATCAAATCACACAGTTTGTAAGTGGGAAAGTGTAATTATATTCTGCTGTATGATATCAGTATTTAAATAAACAATAAACCACATTATGTTATGTACAGAATCAATACACATTTAACAACACCTTGAAATATAAATTACTGGTACACAATACATCACAACTTTAATATATAATACACAATAAACCACACCTTGTTTTATACAATACACAATAAACAACACTTCTTGTAATATACAATTCACACCTTGTATTACAAAATACACAATATACCACACCTTGTTATATACAATACAGTGGTACATTGTACACTATGTATTACAATCCATGGTATATTGTGCATAATTATTTTAAGTCATGTTTTATTGTGTTTTGTATATTATAAGGCTGGGTGTATTGTGTATTTCATATTTTAAGACATGGTTCATTGAGTATTGTATATAACCAGGTGTGGTTAACTTTGTATTGTACCATGGCTTATAATGAACTGTACATACCATGTCTTATTACATAAAGTTAATAACAGTTAACCAGATCGTGTAATTCACAGTGAATATAGTTTTATAATTCATTACATAGATCAATATACCCAATCAATGAGATCTAGTTGTATATACAGAATGACGGTTAACATTTGTTAGCTTTGTAAATTCCTTAAATGAAAGTGTCCCAAAATTTATTTTTGAAATATTTTGATTTTACTACTGATAAAAGCTATTCTTAATGAGAATATTCTGATAAGAGCCATGTCAGTTCTTGATTAGTTGCAATCTTATTTTCTTTTTAATATATTTTCAGATTTCAAAAGGGAAAAATTTACACATATATCGGAGAAGTAGTTGTATCAGTGAATCCGTATCGTCCAGTTGATATTTACAATGCCAGCTATGTGGAACAGTACAGGGGGCGAGAAATATACGAAAGGCCACCCCATATTTTTGCCTTGGCTGACAGTGCCTATAAAAACATGAAAAGAAATTCCAAAGACACATGTATTGTTATCTCAGGTACCATTACTTTCTTTTATTATTATTTTGTTCTTAACTTCATCAGAGGTTTGGATAATAAGGTGCCGAAATTGCTTGTACAGCTAGATAAAGTTGATGAAATCAAATGACTTAAAGATGCATTATGTAAGATTTAGATAAAGAGCTGGACTATCTTGCTATAAAAGTTCAAAAATAGATTAAAATTTCATTCAAATTACTTTATTCTGAGTGAAGTTATCACTGTTTGAAGTTTTGACAAGATATGGCTTAGATTGGTTATTATCGTAACAAAGGTACCTGTTATTTGAGACTTAGTCTCGATTCGCCATTTTTGAATTCAGTCATTAAACGGCGACAATATTTTAATACGTTGAAATCTGTGCCCATCATCCGATGGTCTAGGGAGTTGATTATAGGCTTGTCATGTGAATAAATGTTTAAATAATAGTTTATATAACATTTGAAGCCAAAATAAAGACCTGCAATAGGCAGATTTAGCTCTTACATAATGCATCTTTAAGTTCTGTCACAGTCAATAGTTATAAACATTTTTAAAAATGGAATATTAATCATGTAGTTTTAAACTAAAAGTAAGGAATAAAACTGTTCAGTTAACCAAATTAATCACAATTTTAGTCTTCAAAGGAATTATTAGTGAGCAGAAATTTGGCCGTGTATCTGTTATCACTCGTCACATCAGTCAGTTATATAGAGAGATGACTCGTGTTTTCCTTTGTCGTTCGTCACTTCCGATTCAGGAAACCTGTATTACTCAGCTATAGTAGCAATGATCTCTGTGTTAAAATTATATTTGTAATGTGTTTAACCAGCTCTATCACATATGTGATAATGACTGGCACCAATATTGTCCTTTAACAAGACACTGAAAATGAGTTTTTCTATGAATGCAAAGAGCTTTCAGTGTAAATATATAAACATTTTTTAAGATGGAATTTGTAGTTTAAGAACACACATCAAGTTTTGATTTGTAAAACCTTGTGACTAGGTCGATAGTGTTTGTTGTGGGATTATACTGCTGGTCTACCCACTTGGGAATATTAAATTATTTCTTCTTACAAATCTCTTTAGTTTGAATCCCTCAAGTGGAAATTGTATTCAGTTGCACAATACCTTATAAAATATATACAGCTCATAGATATATACATCTACCTAGAATAACTGCAGTGGATTGTTTTTCGTACAGACATTCACCTTACTGCTTGCGTCAAACACACAGCAATAATTTATAAAGCATGGATAATTTCATTGTCTGTTCTGTTAATCACGTTGAATTTCTGGTGTCTGCGTTATAAAGAAAATAATAAAGTTCAGATTTTATATAAGATACTGATATGACATTAAGTGGAGCATTTACTATACACATTTAAAATCCATCACTGTATGCTGATAAGTGGCATGAACACACTTATTGTGCATAATTCACATATTTAGATATATTTGTGACGTAACACCACACAATATGAACATTAATGGATATATATTAGATACATGATGGGTTTTTGTTCAGTTACCATTTATATGCCAACATTTAATTATGATCGTATACTATCGTCACATCCATACCTGTCTTCCCATCCTTTGTGACACTAAGGTTATGAACCGAATGAATTTAAATTATACACTGTGTTCATCATATTCATGAGAAAAATGATTTGCTGATTGATAGGCAATGATTTCCGAAAATTACTAGCAAAGTTATGACCCTTGATGACCTTGAAAAATCTTATACCAGACACTGGTTATCTGGCACTGAGACGTTTTCAGAAGAAAATTATTGGAATTGAAACGGCTGCTATGAAATATGAAAATTAATACATTGTAAATGTTTATTTATATAGTTCAGGGTACTAGTTTGCCACCGCAGTAAATAAATTATTGATAACAATATTGGGATAAATTATAGTAATTTCATAAATTTGTAAATTGCAATACATGTATGCATAGACTACAGTCTACCGGTTTGAAACCAGTATGTGCACAAATTGTTGAACATCATTTTGATGGTCGTTTTGGGTGAATAAATGACATAAATCTTTACACCACCCCACAGTTTTGTATACAACTGTGTTGTAAATTTTCACTTAAAGTTAAATGTATTATCAGTCTGAAACATTATCCTCAAAAACCTGCAAACACCATGTTTTTATTGACAGTATAAGACTATTTATGCAAGTTTCTGTGTATATTTGACAAGGTTTTACAAGAGGTGAGAAAAAGATTATTTTGGGTAAAATCTTGTGTACATGTAGACTGAAGTAAAAATCTAGACCCATGCCATGTCATCTTCAAATTTTAATACTGGCTTGAAAATAGATTAAGATGAGTATTTTTGGAGTTAGTTGAGGTTTTAAATAAGTGTTGATTTAAAAATTTGTGGTATTGACGTGGTCGGATGATGTTTACCTATACACCTGAAGTTGTTGACATTTGACAATCGTTAAGTTGACGGCATTTGATAACATTCCTTTACCTTTTATAATTGAAATCCAGTCTTCTGTATAATTTTATTGAAATAAGAAATATCTTATTACAGGAAAAATGTGTAACTAAAAAGTTTATGGCCGTCTGCTATTGCAATGTAAAGAAAAATTCAAAGATGAATTATAGACTTATTTCCCATAGACATAATAATGTAATCTAAATATTATATAGTAGTTCCCAAATGCTTTGCTCATGAATAATTTTTAAATTTGAAAAATGTTGGGCAAGGTATTTGTGGTTTAAAATACCGGACAGTTTAATATAGCACAGAAAGTGCAAACCTTTCCATTTTGCTTGATACTTGTCACATCTTCAAGGAAATTAGTTTATGATATTCTTTGCAGGATAAATTTCACCAAAATACTGGTTCTATTAGAATTTAAACCTAATAGATAAAAGAAACAATCCTTTATAGAAATAATTGACTTGATGGGTTGTAAAATGACTTATCATCCGGTTGTATAATTACATCCTATAGTAGGAGTAATATCAACATTCTTGCCCCAAACTGACAATGTTATTATTGTATTGTATGGTATAAGCTGTTAACCTCAGCTGACACCTTTGGCTCACAAATTATTAACATACCAGATTTAAAGAGGCACAATGACTAGTTCAAAACATATTTTCTTTCTCATTTTATTTCCTTATTTTTTTTTAGTGTATAACTATAAGTTAAAAGGCACAATGTTGTTATTATGTAAAGGGGGGCTTATGTCAACTTTGCAACTCAAAGCAACTAGTTGCAGTCAATTGCAAGTGTTCTTCGGTGTTGATCATATCAGCAACTGAGGACAATAAAATTGAGAGCATTGAATTCAGAGCGCTCATGTCGACTCAGAACTAACACGTGACAAGTTGACTCAAGTTGTACTATGTTCTGCTAGTTTCTTTGAGTTGTAAGAGGTGCTCAGATTGACCTTTTTCCGTTGTATTCAGTTGTTTTCACTAGCTTCCATTTGTCGAAACGCAGGTTGCTTTCAGTTGCAAGGTCGACATAAGCCTCCCTTAGTGAGTGTAGAAAAACATTCATGAAGAATGGACTGGCTTGTGTACGATAAAAATATCATAATTATTATTACCATGCTGTACTTTAATTACCCTGTACAAACCCCCAATAAATTGCAATGGATCCAACTTTAAGCATCTATCGAAACTGACAAATTTAACTACATGTGAGAATTAGGACTTTAATTCTTAAAGCATACATATTAGCAGATTTTTTTTACCTTTTTTATATGTAAACTATATGCTTGTACAGTATGTATTTCCTGGTTTGTTGTTGTGTCTAATAAGTACCACAGAGCAATCAATCTGATATGACTGAATGTTTAGCACTACAGAAAATGATTATTAACATCTAGATATATAATATATTTATAAGACATTTATCAAATTATATAAAATTGTTCATTATTCTAGCAACTGCTAAAAGTAATTTTCTAATAGTTGATTATTAAATATGATGTTATCATATCTGTTACAGCAATCCAGTTTTTTTTTCTGTTAAACAAACCACTAGTAATACTGGTTTTATCTAAAAATAACAACTACACTCACTCATGTGTAAACACAAGTGTGCTGATCATTAACCCTTTAGAGCTCAAACCTGTACACATTGATACATTCATTACTTTTACATTGGGATTGTGAAATGTATCTTGAAATTTTAAAATTGAGTGTAGACCATGCCATAGCTTTATCATTTAAAATCATGAACATTTGATAATTTAGAGAACATTGCAATACCAAATTGACTATACATGAACAGTTATCTATTCATACTCTACTATTGAAACAGACCTTTTGTTTTGCTCATCATTTATAACTAGCAGTGGCCCGGATTCGCCCAGGGCTCGAATTCAGTGGGTCATGCTGGTTTACCTGATACCACATATGTGCATATGTGGGGGTGGAGCGCGGCAACGAAGCATGATGGGCGAAAATAAACATATACATATACACATACATCTTTGATTTTATTTATATAGATTCATAACTGTCTAGAAATATTAATAACTAATGTATAGGGATCTCCTTGTCAATCCAAATGCAATAGAAACAGTTTGGGTACTGTATAGTTTGTATTAGCAGAAAGTTGTATACATTTGCAACATCATGTTTAGCGAGCAGAAGACAAGAGCTTACTAATCTTTTACCTGTAATCTTTATAAGTAAAATCTTAAAATGGAATATTGAGGGGGGGGGGGGCTCTTGAATAATTTTGATTATTTAAAAGCCCCACTCCCGCCCGTTAAAATTTATTTGTTGACAATCTACAGGTCACAATTTTTATTTGATTTTGACGAGACTTGAAATTTTTGTTTATATTGCAAAGATCTTGGTTCCTTTCGATAATCGTGCATATCCAAACGTAACTTCCTGGATTATGGACCCTGATTGTTTGAAAAATCCCATTTGTTGACCTGCATTAAGTCAAAATTTGTATTCAATTTTAAAAAATGTTTACATATATCACCGTTACACATCAATGGAGGATGAGGTCTAATTTCGTAAAAATCTGACCTAAACTGCCGGACAAGATGGCCTCTCCTTGTATGCAAATAGTGTAAAAGTATGTAATACCAAGGTTTTGGACACTCTAGAAGTCACAATTTTTATTTGATTTTGATGAAACTTGACATGTTTGATAGTGATACAAAGATCTTGGTTCCTTTCGATATTCGTGCATATTGGACCGTGAATTCCTGAATTATGGCCCCTGATTGTACGATTGATATATTAAATTACTATATTTTCTAGGTGAGAGTGGAGCAGGTAAAACTGAAGCATCAAAGATTATAATGAGATATATAGCAGCCGTTACTAATATCAGTGGGCAAAAAGAAGTAGAAAGGTAAAATAGTTACATTCTTTATTTGAACTTTTCTTTGAAGGTACAAAGACTTGTATAAATATACAAAATTTATGTAATATCTGGATAAAAAATAAATCAGTTCTTATGAGGGATGTCCCTATTAATTTAGTTTATTTTATAACTAACAGTGTAACCATATAACTAATGAACAGTTTGATTAATAATGGATATGAGCCACTTATTTCTCTATTTTAAACATACATTATGCAAGAGCTAAATCTGTCTATTGCAGGTCATTCTTTAGGCCTGAAATGTTATCTAAATTATTAATTAACCTATCCAGACCATAATCAACTCTAGATGGCATTGCTAGCCTGCGATATTTAGTGGATTATGAATGAGCCGATTTACTGCATAACTTTCCTTCACGATTTAACGATTAAATGGATAATCGAGACTATGCTGTTTATCGTACTGACTTTAGTAATGATGATCAAGGCTAGCCGGAAATTTCAACCGCTTAGTTCTCGGTTTATAGTGGATCAATTTGAATGAAATTTTCAGCAAATTGCCTTTACATTGCCTAACTATTATATAAGAACTGCCAACTCGTTATCGAATCTCCCATAATGTAAGATAATTGTGATACATGTAGGTTACCCCTTAAGGCTAGAATTCATCTTAAAAAAGGTATCTGAATGTTCAAGCTCAAATGACAATTTCTAAAGTCAGTACGACGTAGTTCTGGTGCACACATATTTTTTTTAACTTCTTTGATAGCCCAAAGATAGAAGTGACATTACCTTCATTGATAAATCCTTTCCAATTGTTCTGAAAAGGATGATTATTTCATTTAAAAAGTTGAGAAATATGTCCACTGACTTCTTAAACTTTTATTGTGACATTTTGTTGTATTGCAAATTTTTGGTAGGTTTTGTGATTTTAATTCTTTTTTTCCAGAGTTAAAGAAATACTGATAAAATCTAATGTTATATTAGAAACATTTGGTAATGCTAAAACAAATAGAAATGACAACTCTAGTCGATTTGGTAAATATATGGATATCAACTTTGATTTTAAAGGGGATCCTATTGGTGGACATATCAACAATTATTTATTAGAAAAGGTAACAATAATTGTTAGACCAGGAAATCTGATAATGATGAAATCTGATAGAAAAACATGTTTTGTTTTGTGTTTGGAATTGTGAAAGATAAAATGATAAGATCGGCAATCTAGACTAACATACTGATTGTTATACATTAATGTGGATGGATACAAAATATTTGACGTAATTAAGTATTGTACCTTTTCAGATATTGTCTGGAATTTGGCTATTGTTAAGAAGCAAAGCACTGTTATTTTTTCTACAGCAGCCAGTTGACAACTTTGTGACAAATAATTTGTAGATTAATTTGATGTGAAACAATAAGAGATACACAGAAAGTGAGATTTAGTGACAGTCTTTAGATCTTAACTTACTAGGAAAACTATAATTTTTATTTACCAATATTTTATTTGTAATTGTTTCAGAGTAGAGTAGTGTATCAACAGGAAGGGGAGAGAACTTTTCACTCTTTTTATCAGGTATGAATTAATTACAAAGTTAAGCAATACATTAAAAATAATGTTGTAATAAATTTAACAGATTACTGACATGCAGATATATTGTCTTTTCTTATATTATTGTGAAAGTCATTTATCTTCTGTCACAAGTAGAGGTGAAACTATATCTCATCGTGCACTTTTTGCTAATGTGTGCGTGAAAATTGCTTATGCAGCCTTTATTAAAGAGAAATTTAAAGGATTTCTTCTGCCATGTCTTGATTTAGTATACACAAAAGTTTTATGTTCTTAGTTGAATTTTTCAAAGCTACATTCAGTAGGAATATTTTCCAAACAGAATTGTAACTTGCCACCAGCTTTAATAAACGTTCCTATTGTAACTCATTTGTAAATGTTAATAAACAGTCTTAATTTTTTTTCATTTATAAATTTTAATAAAACGTCTAATTTCTCATTTAATTAAAATATTGATATTTTAATTTTTGTGTTATTACAGTTATTGAGTGGAGCTCCTGAGGGTTTATTATCTGAGTTAAAGTTGAGTCGAGATTCCAATAAATATTATTATATATCACAAGGTGGTAGCTCACAGGTTAGTAAGAATTTTATTCTAGGACAAAAAATCCTACATTAGTTGATTGTTTCCCTGTCAGAACCATATACTGGTTTGGGACACATATTCCATTGCTTAGAAAATAGCCAGTTTCTTCTTTATGAACAATGCCTTCAATATTGGCTATTGTGGAATTCAACATTATTATTACCATTCTAATAACTAAAAATCAAATACCCAAAATTACGGATTAACCTTGTACAGAATCAGGTGACCTTGTGGTTATAAAGTAGGCCTATGTTTTCTACATGTCATTGGTTCAATATCATATATGTAAGTGCCTATACTTACGTCTTTTCTCCTGGTGCTCAGTTTTCTTCATACAGACCCCTGTGCACAAACAAATTATTTAGATAGAAAGCTACTATACCCACTGGTACACCAAAACCAAAATAGAGTGATGATACACCACATTCAGTGTCACTTCATCACAAGGCCATATGAAAAAACTATTCTGGTTCTCAGACAATTTTTCAATTAAATCTGATGCTGATTTTTTATACACCTAAGTGTTGGCGTATATTGTCTTCATCCATATCCACCCTGGGGTCTGCTGTCTATTATTGCTTGTTGATACTCAAGGGACTAAACTCATCATCTGATTAAAGATGTAAGAGTTGAATCTGTCTATTGCAGATCATTTTTTTGGTCTTTAATGTTATATACGTTATTAATTAGACATTTATTCACACAACAAGCTCCTTATCGACTATCTAGACAATCGGATGGTTGTGATTTTGAACGGATTGAAACTTGAGCCTTTTGATAATTTGATTTAAAAATGGATAATCAAGACTTTGTTTATTATCGTAACAGCGGTAGCTGTTCTTCAAAGGTTTGTAACTTCACTCAGAATGAAGTATACAATACATGTATATTCCTTTTTCATTATCTATTTTTAAACTATTATAGTGAGAACTATCAGCACTTTTATCTGCATCTTACATAATGTTTATATTCATGAGATGAAGAATCCTATTGATTTTTTAAGATTCAGATAATGACTGTGTAAATTTGGCCCTTGATCACTTAGAAATAAGTCCTCTTGATGATTGAGAAGAAAAAATTATCATCTGATCGGCATTTCATCACAATGAGGTCTCAAAAAAATATTATTCTGGTTGACTGGTTCTAAGGCAATCGTTCAAACAAATCTGGTCTGCCTGAGGCAGACAAAACACTTTAGATAGGTCTACTTTTATTGATTGCATGTTTATTTATAAAATTAAGGAAGACTAATAATGTGTGGATTGCCAAATTAGATCTTTCTTAAAACTAAATGCATAATATTGATGAATAAAAGTAACTTTATGGAATAACATTTACTTTGCTTTTATTATAAGAGTGTTTTAACTAGGCTTCTATAATCTTTATCAGGCAATTGTTACTCCATATGATTATTTTTATTTATTTATGCTTGTCAATTAGAAAATGTCATTTAAACAAGCATAATATTGATGATTTAAATGGAGCTTCTATTATTTTATTCAGGTGAGCACCATCAATGATAAGAGAGATTTTAGGTCTGTCAATGATGCCATGAAGGCATCAGGTTTTGCACCAGATCACATTAACACATTGTGGCGTATTGTGGCTGCTGTTATACATTTGGTGAGTATATTTTAATCATATGTTATCTATGTGTCATGCTCACTGATATTATTGATTAATTGATGATGGTGTTGTGAAGTCATTAAGTATACATGGTCTTGTGTACAGAATTTGTGTTGTTCATTTTTTGGGGAATTGGACAGTTGAATAACATGCGATTAAACTTTCTAGAATTGAGGTTTTTCCGAAAGGTCCAAACAGTCAAAATGAATTAATCCCGAAATAATCAGGTAACAATTCATGTCACACTCAACACAAATGAAAAATATTCATGTTGAACTACATCACGTTTCTACCACTCACATTATTATCGATAGCAGTTCTATCAGAGTAGAGCATCCCAAAAAGAGAACCCTTTTAATATTTTAAGACTATCAGGGGTTTGTTGCACTCTATATGTATCAGGGAAGAATCTATAAGATTATTCTAAGATATGTCAGAGATGTAATTTATTCTATTGGAAGTTATGGAAACATAAGGTATAAGCATTAAAGGGACAGTTCCTGATTTCTTCAATTTGAAAATTGTTTGGATGAATTTCTCCTGTTTCACTGTGAATGTAATCTTTGAATAGAAACGTAACCAGTTTTACTCTTAAAATCATTTTAATGTTGCTTCCATCTTATTTTATTTTTTTGTTATAGGGTAGTGTCAAATTTGAAGCTGATCCTGATCAACATGAACAAGTTATTATATCTAATATTACTGAAGTTAAAGATATTGCTAAATTAGTTTCTGTAAAAGTTGAAGATTTAAAGAAAGCTCTGTGTTTTCGTACTATAGCTGCTGGAGGTCAGGTAGTAGAGAAAGGTCTACGAGAATCAGAGGCATATTATGCCAGAGATGCTTTCGCAAAAGTAAGTAGCTTAATTCTTAGACATAAATCAGTTCATACAACTAGTCGAACTAGGTCTTTAATGCATTAAATGAACCATGTTATTTTAATGGTGGTTATTTTTAAGCATTAAAGTGCTTCAAAAAACCACCAAAATTTTTATTGCAGACATTAGGATATTACGCATTTAAGCCAAAACTATTTGCTCATGAATGCAAATGTTCAAAAGAGAAAGAGAGAGAGTTCCATTTATCCATTTATTTAGATGATTGATGTGATACAGTCAGTTATTGTGCTTACATTTTTCAGGCCACATATGATCGTATGTTTTCTTGGATAGTTGGGAGAATAAATGAAGCGATTGACCCTAAAGTTATTGGTATGAAATATGTTGGTAAAAATACAGTTATTGGTGTACTTGATATCTACGGTTTTGAAATCTTTGATAATAACAGGTTAGACTCAACATTTTTGATAATCTAACATTTTGTTGTGATAGAGTAACTGCTGGAATACAAGACCAAGGGGGAATAACTCTTTAAGGATTCTTAGTGAAATGGATTTAGTAATATTATAAGGTATTATTCGTGTGCATTACTTGTCAGAATGAGGGCAAGAAAGTTAATTACTTTAAGGCTACAAATATCAGCTGTTTGTTGTGTATTTTTTGTTGCCTAGTAATATCTGTAAATTCTGGTTTCAGTTTTGAACAGTTTTGTATCAACTATTGTAATGAGAAGTTACAACAACTATTTATAGAACTTGTATTAAAACAGGAACAGGAAGAATATATGAAAGAAGGAATAGAATGGCAACATGTAAGATGTTTTTTCTTTTATTTGAGATTTTTTTTTTTTTTTTAATATGTTATGGTCCTGCAATCCTATAAATCATTTTTTTTTGTATGTGTTATTAAAATGTTTTGCACCACCATTTCCGATAAAGCATTGGTTGAAATGGTTTTGTCACACCTTTTGGAAGACAATGGTGTATATGTTCAATGATGATCATTTTCTGCTTAATTTAGATATATGCAATTAGATTTGTTGATGCTTTTGAACATAACTTTAATTGTAATTGAGTCAAAGTGATGAAACTTGGTGTGTTGATTCATTACATCAAACCCTTGACTTAATTTCGAGAACAAGCATATTATGCTTAGGTTATGCATGGTGATAAGCAATTTGATAGCTCTATTATTTATAAAATGATAATTAGGCAGCTAATAAATTTATTTTGTGATTAAGGAGGGGGACATCTGTCTGACCATTGAGCATTTTTTCTGCCGATATTTATTAATTGGAAGGTATAGTATGGCAAGTATAATCCCCCCCACAACTGCCTTGACTTCTCATTTTAATTTATCACTAACTTATTGTATTTTCAGGTGGATTATTTTAACAATAAAGTTATCTGTGATTTAGTAGAACAATCTCATAAAGGAATATTAGCTATATTAGATGAAGCTTGTTTAAATGTTGGTAAAGTCACAGATATTGTAAGTATCTCTATTTATATGATCAATTTGGGGTACCAATATCCTTTTGATTTAAGTTGAACTCCAATGTTTGATTGTTTGGGTGATCGTGATGTAAACAGGAGAGACAATGGTGGGCGGAAGCTGGATTGCTTCAATAAAAAATACATAATTATGCTATGATTCTTGGAAGAACGAAGCATTTTGTTATTTTATAAATTTACAAAGGGTCACAATTAAAAAGGCTTTAATATTGAGAAGATGGCATAAATAGAGCATTTAATTTTTGGTTTTGGTTGTATTTTGACCAGTGGCAATCATTTCGTACCAGACCGTCTGCTAATCGTTGGTTAATGAATATCCTTGCTATTTATTCAGTAGTATTTTATAAATCATATTAGATACTTTAGATTCAAAATGATTTCTAAATAATAAACTAAGGACATTTGTATGTACAAAAAGTCAGACAGTAGATGATAAAAGCATTGATTATTAATATTTGTATATATTATTTCAGATGTTCTTACAAGCCATGGCAACCAAATTAAATAAAAATGACAGGTTTACATGTAGATCAGTAAGTTATTTTTCATTTTTGCTTGTGTATGCAAAAAAGACGTTGGTCCAAATTTAATTTAGTTTCCGTCATCTGGTGAGTTATTAATGGTGTGACTGTATCTACTCATAAATGATGAAAGCATGAATTGAAATGTTGTTTGCGTTCAAACGAAATGCACTACATGATCAACGCAAAGCTTCATAGAACTATTCTCACAACTGTCTTTGAAACCTGTGAGTCTGGATCACTGAGACTAGTAAAGATACATCGTCTGGTAATAATTTATGTATTCTGTTAAATCAGTAAACTACCACTCTTAATTACAATGCCTCGAACTAGAAATGATGCAAGCACAAAGTGTGATAAACCTTTTGCTTTGTTTATATGTCAGAGATTTATATCATAATATTTCTGTTTTAGTTAAATCCTTCAGATAAGACGTTAGAACATGATCGAGATTTCCGTATCAAGCATTATGCTGGTGATGTGTCTTATAGTGTCATTGGTTTCATAGATAAAAATAAAGACACATTGTTTCAAGATTTCAAACGGTTGCTCTTTAACAGGTAAGTCATAAAGTGTGTCAACAACTGAATCCATCGTTCCTTTGATAAGATGGCTGTTGTACACGTCAGCCCTTGTTTCCTATTGTTTTATATTGTTAATGTAAAGGAATAATAATGTTGTTGTTGAGGTTTTGAATTATTCCTAACCAGAGTACTGCGATTTGAGAGCTCTGGTAATTTTATTTACAATTAAATATACATTGTGCAAGAGCTAAATCAGACTATTGCAGATCATGAAATGGATAATCAAGACTGTTTTTTATCCTACCGACTTCAGTAATGGTGATCGAAGCTAGGCCGAAAATTCAATCGCTAAAATCTTGGTTCATAGTGGATCAATTTGACTGAAATTTTCAGCAAATTCCCTTTACAGTATCTAGTTTTTAACTATTATAGTGAGAACTGCCAGCTCTTTATCTTATCTCCCACAACGTATCTTTAATGTTTCAGTAAAGATGAACTGATCCGTGCAATGTGGCCAGAAGGTAAACAGAGTGTGACAGAAGTAAGTTATTTTATATGTTTGTACACATAGATACATCTCATGACATCTCAACACAAACATGAGTTTAAAGATAGTAATATTGTGTACTGCTGATGACAACATATTTCTTTACCTACTGTTAGGTCACTGAACACAACAATGCTGTGTAATTGTTAGGATGAAATGTAAAAGCAAGGCATGCATGTAATAGAATCCTTGACAATTGGAATTCTATGAAGAATAGGCAGAAATTGAAAATTCTCCTCACACATTACCATAGAAATAAAGTTATATATTAGTCTCAAAATAAATAAAATATTGCATTTTATGTTCAACTTCATTCTATTCTTTTCATTCTGAGGATAATTTTGACATCTTGCATAATATGCAAATGTGTAATTAACTCTGATGGCTGAATATTTAAGCTGGGTTGAGTATAGTATATTGTATATATACTAGTCAACTGCTTTCCAGCGATCTCTGTATCATTCTCCTCCAATTGCTATAGAGCATGTTTTTATAGAGAAGGATTCACTGTAACACCTGTGTAGTTGGTGTTTATTATATACCAGGTAACAGTGTTAGTTTGAAAGTCTAATGTACTTTTTATATTATAATTCATCTTTCAGACAACCAGACGGCCTGTTACTGCTGGAACTAATTTTAAGAATTCTATTGTTGCTCTAGTCGAAAATCTGGCATCAAAGGTATACAAATATTATTTATAAGGAGGTAACCTTTATGATTTAGGTAAAAAAAAGTATTAAAGAGTTATTTTGATTAGTGATATGCAACAAGCTCTGTAATATAATTTAGTTCTTGTTTTCAAAAATTAAGTACATGGTACATATACCTAATTATTCAAAAGCAACATTCTGGCTATGGATCTATTGTCATTATCAAGCAAATGATACCACTACTAATAGATTCTTTTATAAAGAAACTGTGAATAATAACTGTTATTATTTTTAATTTAGGAACCACATTATGTGAGATGTATTAAACCAAATGAATTAAAATCACCATCTGTATTTAATGATGAGAGAATAGGACATCAGGTACGATATCTAGGATTAATGGAGAATGTAAGAGTAAGGAGAGCTGGTTTCGCCTTCAGAATGCATTATGACAGATTCTTACTTAGGTATGTATATATATCCGCATCAGAACCCCAATACAATTTACCCCTTTCCATATTGTTTAGCTTCATTTTCTGGAGTTTATTTAGTTACGATCCACATTACTGTTAGAGAGAAAGAGAGAATTGGGGTTAGCGTTCACTCGATATAGACAAGGTCATTTTGGGACTAACATATTGTTCAATTTATTTTAAATAATTTACTTGCGCATAGGAGTCTTTAGTCGTGGGAGGAAACCAAAGGACCTGGAGAAAACCCAAAAGGTACAAGCTTGGAATTGAAACCATGTCACTTGACTCAATTACAGACCGTATGATTTATAACAATTAAACCACTGTATACCTATTAATTGTATGTATATGACAAATGTGGTAATTTTCTTTGATTTCAGATATAAATGTATTTGTACTAAAACATGGCCTGTATATAGAGGTGGAGATGTAGATGGAACTAAATGTATTATAAATGAAAAAGGTTTCCAAGACGATGTCAAATATGGCCGATCTAAAATATTTATCCGATCACCACAGACATTATTCTCATTAGAGGAAACACGTGATGCGAAGATACCAACAATAGTTTCTTTCTTACAGAAGGTAAGTTGAAAGCTTTTTCTGATTTTTTAACATACTAGAATAAAGGTTAAATATAACATTAAGACCATGTACAATTAAAAGTACTTTTATTGAAAAGATTACTTTTAATTGTGTTTATTTGATACAGCCATCTTGGACAGATATAGTAATAGATATGTATGCTATCGATTTTGTAAAAGTCAGCCCATTTTACAGAAAGGTCTTTTCATACTCCGATGTTCTTATACACGTAGTAACAGTCTTTACATATAAATAGTGCATATTTTTGACTATTTAAAGATACATTATGTAAGATTCAGATAAAGAACTAGCCATTCTTGCTATAATATATCGAAAATAGATAATGTAAAATGAATAATTTGAAAATTTCATTCAAATTACTCTATTGCGAGCGAAGAGAAGTTCGGGCTTTTGACAAGACATTTTCAACAATTTCAACCACCGTACTCCATTTTTAGCTTAAATCAAAATAAGGCTGAATTGTTCCGATGCCATCAAGAGTTGATTATGGTCTGGATAAGTTAATTAATGTCTTATTAATAATTTAGAAAACATTTCAGGCCTAAAGAAAGACCTGTCATAGGTAGATTTAGCTCTTGCATCATAATGTATGTTTAAGTACATGTGAACGATCTCTAACTTGTACAATGGAGTTATTGCTTGAATTGATTGACTTAAATGCAAATAGCCATATTTTAGAATAAGATTTGCAATGTGAGATTTGTGGGGTTGTAGGCAATGGAGCATATCAAGATGCTTGTATTGAAATGTCATTCACTGTGCTTTTAAAATTCGTTTTGGTTTCCCCCATTGTATTTGGTGAGATAGCATTTGGAACTCGAGTCTGTAGTTTTTAAGATCTGTCTGCCTGTAAAAATGAAAGTTGTGGCTCTTATAATTACATGTTCCACATTATGTTTGATTATTTTAGCACTGGAGAGGTGGTTTAGGAAGAATGAAGGCCAAGAAGATGAGAGCTATTTATATCATCATGGCACGGTATAGAAGATACAAAATGAGAAGATATGTCTTGAAATGTGTGGACTTATTCAAGTATGTAAATTTAGATTTTTTGTATTTTTCCAAATTATGATAGCTATTTATTTCTTTACGTAAAGTTAGGAATTATTTTTTAAACATAAATAATTGGTCATAAATCCCATGAAATGTGCCGAGCACTGGCCAGAATACTAAATTTGCTTCATTTGATTTATTTTCAGGAATGTTAAGAAAATGCGAGATTATGGTAAACATGTGCAATGGCCACACCCACCCAAGGTTTTACAAGGACTTGTTAGTATGTTAAGCAGAGTTCATAATAGGTATGTGACCCTTTTATTATTGCAGTCTATTCAGTGTATTAATAATACACTATAGACAAACAAAACCAATAAGACACACAAACTACACAGACACTGAAAGCAATCAACTATCAATGTATCAAATCAAGTGAATGGATCAGTGGGCCAGCCGTAAGTGTCCACTTCACTCTACAGTCCTAGTCCTTTAGTGATAATCTGCAACTCTTTTCCCTTGAAGCATAGAAGCTTGGGAGTGAAACCACACCACTTGACTTAATGACAGATTTTATGGTCTAAAGTGCATGTGTCAAACCAGTCGACCACCCAACCCCCTTTAAATATGAAAGAACTAGAGAAAGAGTATGAATTATGCATTAATATATGTTTTGTTTACTAGATGGAGGGCCAACATGATTTTACGTAAGATACCAAGAGATGAAAGGCCAGCACTGAGATTAAAGGTCACAGCAGGTGATGTTTTGAAAGGTCGTCGCCAAGAATGGGGTTTTAAGAGGAAATGGGAAGGAAATTATTTGGCAAATGTAAGTATAGGACACTCAGATATGTCATATTCGATAATATTTACTAATAATAACAGCAAAGAACAAAACAAAAACACAGATATTGTAAACCATAAAAGAACTATTAGATTAAGTGAATTTATATGGTGGCTAATTGTAAATGTCTACTATGCTGTATATCCATTCTGTTGTAAAATATGCTTTGAGTAAAAGATATGTTGAAAATGTTTCGACTGTGGTGATTGGTGGAGATATTCTCTTCTTGAGTTCAACAGGCCAGGAAAGAATGTTTTTTATGGTGACACCATGACGGACAGTAGCTGAGCTTACCTGGTAAACAAATGTATAGGACGGTTTCCAATTGAAAAGGCCATTTAATTATCAATAAATGACAAATAAGTACTACATATAAAATAACAGCAATAGATCATGGTATAAAATTAAGACACTGTAATATGTAATGTGGCATATTGACATTAATTTATTAAATAAATATTCAGCTTCCCAAAGATATGGTGTACAGTACAGCCAGCCATCTGACAACTTTGTGCCAAACATATATTAAAGATATAAGGAATTAAGTTAGGGTCATTTTATGTTTAGATTTATTTCTTTTGGTTTGTTATCCAGGCTTATCGAGTAGTCACATTATCAGCTTTTGATAATAAACTGTAAAATAGATTGTAAAATATTTTATAAGCCATTTTTGATTATTTTTTTTTTATTTTTTTATTTTGCAGGCAGCAGATAATACAACATCGACATCAGATTTTGTTGTGCAGGTCAGCACATTGAAAGGTCAAGATGGTTTCAGCAGAGTTCTTTTCTCTTCTTTTGTTAAAAAGGTAAATTTGCTTTCTTTATGCTGGTTGGTTTTGCTTCTTCACAGAAGAGAAGGTAATTTCTCCTAATAGGGTTATAACCTGTTTAATAGAACATCTATGCCCTAAAGTTTATAAAAATAACCAGTTTCTTCTTTTCTTCCTAATATCATGCTGTTTGAGCTTGTAACAAAGAAAATAAGAATTTAAAATGAACAAGCTAGTACATACTCAAAATCGAATCAAAGTAATTGTTAAAGGATAATAACCGATTTTACATATGTGATAGAATTGGTAAACAATGGGACCTTTACTATGGTTGATCTGTTACCAGGATTTGAAGATTTCTGAAGTGACACAAAAATAATAAAGCAGTTGTTATTACTGAAGTAGAAAGCAATATCTGCTATATAAATTGTTTTCTCTGATAATCACCTGAAAACAAAAAATTGCTACATGAAGCTGTTAGGAAATATACCAAATATTCATAAGAAGACCTCATTGCTATCAGATTTTGAAAAAAAGAAAGAAAATAGAAAAAGCAGTTATCTCCCCTTGATTGTACAACTGTGTGTGGATTTGATTAGGATATATTTAACTGTGCTATTTGTACATAATGTTTAAATAGTGTGATACCCTGTATAGATTTTCTGCACAATCTGTGACCAGCTAATAAAAAGATAGGTTGCCAGGCAACGAAACATACGCCCACAGCAGCTAAATCGTCAACAAGAGTTGTTGCATATTTTTACTTTTTTTGGTAATGAAACATTTATAATACACTAAAATCTGATTAAGAGTAACAACTCATTAAGTAATTATCAGAAAATCATTAGAATTCGTTTGGTTTTTATAAAGTTCTGCCCCATGCTAACGTTTAGTATACGAAAAATTTAATATCATGGATTTAGCTGTTCAAGTTATCAAAATTCATTGAAAATCAATATACTTGTTTGTCTCAAGACCTTAAACTCTGTGTATCAATCTGAAGTCAATCGGATATTCACTTTAGCCTCTAGAGCATCCACAAGAGTTTTTGAAGCGATCAAAGGCCATGACCCTGGGGCAGTAATTATCCGAAATCGCTGAAAATCAATTGGCTTCTTCGTCTCATGACCTTAAACACTGTGTATAATATTACAGTCAATCGGATATTATCTTTAGCCTCTGGAGTATCCACAAGATATTTTGAAGTGATCAAGGGCAATAACTCTGGCAGTAATTATTGGAAATTGCTGAAAATCAATAGGCTTCTTCGGCTCATGACCTTAAACACTGTGTATAAATTTAAAGTCAATCGGATATTAACTTGAGCCTTTAGAGCATTCTCAAGCAATTGTGGACACCGGACGAGGGCGACGACAATATACGACCACGTTGTAGCATGGACACCCGTATGCAATGTGTGCATTGTCTTCACGTTGTTGTTATTTGTCCACGTGACCTCTTTCCCGCCACAATGAACCAAGTTCCATTTTAGTCACAGAGTAGTTAAACGAATAAAAATTAAACTGGTTTGTATAGCTAATAACAGTGCGCGATTCGGGTGGATATATTTTTCAAATGATTATAGCCTACTGAATATATTGTTGTTCAGTGAATGGAAAATGATTAAAATGTTGTGTGATGGCAAATGAGATGACAGATGGGAACACATGGTCAATTCTTACAAAGGGAAATGTTTACAGATAAAAATTATTGTTTTGTGAATAATTATAAAGCTTGTATATTTACTTGATTATCAAATTTAACGTCTGTACTTAGTCTGTACTAATTACTTAGTCTGTACTAATTACTTAGTCTGTACTAATTACTTAGTTAGATCGTGAACTGAATGATTGTTGAAAGGTTACTTTTAATCTCGTCGACCGAAATCAAAGGGATTAAAATGTCTGTATGCAGTGGAACGGTAAATCACGTTTGGTCAACATTTTTTCACGCTTAATTTAGGACAAGAAACTTGATTCGCAGATTCCCTTAACTTTCTGCTAATCAAATTAATATTTGATCGCACTTAGTCGTTTTTGTTTAGCAAACTGCAATGCGATACCGCTTATCATATTCCCTGGAACCAAAAAGCATCCATTAGAGGCTTATCTCCGATATGCAGTGACATTGCACAGCATATGTGGCTGCTAGAGGTGCCAATGTTTCACTGTTAAGTAAAGTTGTTTGTTATTTAGTCTACAATCCTGCAAAAAATCACATTTAAGCTATATATTGTCTCGCCAGCACTTCCAGTCAAATCAGTGATGCTTTTTCATTGGTTCTCAGTAAATGATAATAATAATAGTTTGATTAACATGACCAGAATAGGTTCAAGAGAACTAAAAACGTTAGCCAAAGAAATCCAGAATATATCTATTTTAATACAGGAAGTGTTTATCTTAAAATTACATAGTACACTTCATTGACATATAATACAGGAAGAAAATAAAATACAGTGATGTATTGATTCTTAGTTTCACCAGACAATCATCGGTCATATTCATAACTTTATTAACACCAAAATACTCTTCGTTCATCTCATTCCTTTCTACTTGCTGGGTATCTGTCTTACTGTGTGTGAGTTTGGATGCACCTGAGTGGACTAGAATATTCTAGGTTTTAATACAGTTTTTGCAAAGAACAACCTGCATGCAAATTTGTCGTGAGATAGCTTGTAAAACTAAGTTCATACAAATAAGTACACCTAAAATGTTTGCTGCCCATAATTCTCTCTCCTTGGCATTTTAAATGTAATATTAGAACGATTAGGATATTGTGTCCTTTCTCACGGGGTTTGGGTTGCTGAATAGATTATAAGGTCCGTCATTGAGCCAAGTGACGTGGTTTTGATTCTACACTTGTAGGAGTAGGTTCCTTGTCTGGTTTTCCAGTTTCCTCCGATTTCTAATGACACACCTATGTGCAAGCAATTTAATGAAACAAAATTGTATCATTAGTCCCAAATTGACCTGGTTTCTGTTTAGTGGATATTAAAACCCATTTATATCTCTCCTTCCTTCTCTTTCATTTATACATACCTAATGATTATCTTATTGTTTATATTCAGGTAAACAAACACAATAAGACAGCTGACCGTGCTCTACTGATCACTGATAAATATATCTATAAATTAGATCAAAAGAAAAAATTTAAACCAATGAGGAAAGGAATCCCATTAATTGAGGTAGGTCATCTTAATAGTTTGGATGTACATAGATTATGAGGGTTATCAATCCTCTTTTAGAATTTTATGTACTAGTTACAATCAATCTGACCAGTTGTATTGGGAGGTCATGTCAGGGGTCATACGAAAGGCTTAAGACCCTATGACATCAGACATTGATTATTCAATCAGCGTTGATGTTGATGGGGGTTTACCAACAGTTCTGTGCATCGCACATAAAGAAGTCGCCGTAACAGATGGTTTCATATGCTAATCCCTCACGCTATCCAGAACACAGGTTATATAACAACTATTTCAGATCCTAGTGTAGTGCAAACAAATAAAACAAAATTTTGAACTATAAGAAACGAAACGAAATAGCAGATTGGGGTACAGTAGGCTTAGGTAAATATTGAAATGTGTTCATGTATTGCTGTTGTCCCTGTTGTTTACATTAGTGAGATGAAGAATCATATTGAATTTCAACAATTTCCATTAATTATTTCTAGAGTTATGTCCCATGTTTCACTTTGTAGAATCTTGTTCGTGGTCTAATGACAAATGCATTATTCATTATTCAGTACGATGAAAAGAACTATAGAATTTCAACAATTTATGCTAGAATTATTGCCCTTATGAACGCTGTAAATAGTAACAAAAGTAATCATCGGTACTGTTTAAACTTAGGGGGTTTGATGTCCAAATGTATCGGTTATATCGCTGAATCAAGTGGCGTGGTTTCAATTCCATGCTTGTATGTGACAAGATTAGGATCGCCTCTCTAAGCTCATGGGTTTTCTCTGGGTCCTTGAATTATTGAAATAAAATTGAACCATATGTTAGTCCCGAAATGACCTAGTTTGTATTGAGTGGACGTTAAACCCCATTTCTCTCTCTCTGTTTAAAATTTACATGCATTGTTCAGACTAGTGAAACGAAGAATCCTTTGATTACGAAATAGATTCTTGTCAACTTGCCAATGATATTGTACAGTATAAAATTTTTGCTATTTATTTACCTACCTAAAGATTCTCTATTTGACAACCTTTGGGGACTACACATATGACTTAGGCTGTTCTTGATGTATCATTTCTTGCCAAGCAACCTATCATTTATAATTTGATATAAGCAATCAGAGCCAGTAAATTGATAATTTTACTAGTAATCTGCATTTCGAATACCTGGTTATATAAGTATGATTAAACAATAAACATGATTGTCAGGTTTCTAGAATAAAAAACCCAGGTTAATACCCTTATGTATATTGTATATTATTGTAGATAACTGGATTAGGATTAACACCGGAATCCGATCAACTGATTGTTATACATCTCTCAGGTGGTAATGATCTCGTACTGTGTTTAATGAACAATAAAAAAGAAGAACGCGTTGGAGAGTTAGTTGGAATTCTGTGTTCACATTGGCAGAAGTAAGTAATTCTCGGTAAAAACTTAAAATTGAGTAAAAGAATTTTCTGGGAAAATAATATACATGCACCGAAATATGAAGTCGGCTAAAACACAGTATTTGTTTTAAAATTGTCTCATCAGTATTAAAAAATAAATTGCCTTGCAATTCTAAGTATCAATAGTTCTATATTTTGGTCATTAAAATTTATCCTTTTTTTGCATCAGCAGCTGTTGCAAATATACTATTGTGAAGCGTTTTAAGTATGGGTCACTTTATGGTCCCTTTAAAAAGTGAAAAAAAATCAAATTAAAATGAATAAAAAATATTTTAGATTTTAAAATTGCACATGTATTGAAAATGATAATATTACATTTTTATTGTAAGTTTTCAGTGTTTTTCGAGCACATATCCACTGTGATTCTCAAAATTTCCAGAAACACATGTTTTTGTAATATAGTCATAACCAGTGCCGGACTGGTGAGCCAAAGGCCCACCTGTCAGGTCATTGACCAAGGACCACACAAGTACGCGCCGACAGGCGTGTCACGGGCGCGCCGAAGGCGTGCGAGCGCCCCAGGGAGGTCTGGAAAACTGACAACCGCAAACCCATTTTCCAAGCATTTCAGACCAAAGCAGAACAAGGCAAATTTTTGATTTCCTGATACAATTAGATGAATTTGAGAATTCTCTTCAGTGTCAAAAACAAAAGATGAATTACACGGTTCTCAGTATAATGATGTCAAACTCATAAAGTTCTTTCTTATAGTACACTTCTTTTTTTGTGTTGTTTGTCAGTCATTTTTTTTCTATATTTTCTTTCTCCTGTCCTGTGTCCTGTCCTCTCCTTCCTTCTTTCTCCCCCCCCCCCCCTTTCTTTCTCTTTTCCTTTTTTTCTGTTTTCTTTTTTCTTTTTTTCTTTTTTCTTTATAGGCTTAGGCCCACTTTTTTTTTTGATGAGCTTAGGCGTCACGGACAGGTGGGCCCAGATGGTCACTGGTCATAACTCCCTTAATACACTGTCTATTTGCATAATTCAACTATCAAACTTTATTATAGGAAATGTTCTATAAGCATGCATTTATATCCTTTCCAAAAAAAAAAAAAAAAAAAATAGAATTTCAAAATAGAATTTATTGAAGTGAGACAGCATAACGCAAAAATGGATATAATATATTTTATTGACTTGACATTTGGTGCTCATTAGGATAGGTCATTATTACAAATGTTGAATATAAGAAATGGACTGTAAATACTGGTAGTTGTTTCTGAACTGTATATAACATCAAAAAATTGAAAACTGGACAAATACTGTGTTTTAGTCGAGTGGTCCCTAGCAAATTAGAGGGGTTAGATGGCCGAATGGTCTAACATGTGAGTTTTAGATCATAAGGTCTGTCATTGAGTCAAGTGGCATGGTTTCGATTCCCAGCCTAATCTTTTATTTCCGTGGGTCCTCCGGTTTCTTACCAGTGCTAAAGATCCCTACATAACATTGAACCATATGTTAGTCTTGAACTAACCTAGTTTATGTCAAGTTGACCATAAACCCCATTTCCAACTTATTTTTTTACAGAACTATGAAAAAGGACTTGAAAGTTAATGTTGGTAAGATGTTGAACGTTATGTTGGGAAACAAAAGTCGTACAGTAACTGTCAAAACTACTGTAGCCAATGGTGGAGCTACTTTCAAAAAGGAAGACCAAGGATTGGCTCTAATGTGGCCAGTAGGCTAAAAGTTTACAAATCTGGTTAGACTTTTCTTGTGATAATTAATTAACCTGTCTAGTGCTACAATCCTACAGTATACAGTGCTGGATTTACCATTGTACTTAGGTGTGCTTAAACACAGGGCTCTGTTGGGGTTGGGGGTGGGGTGGGGATCTCCATCTTCCCAGATAATTCAAAGATTTGCCTAAAACTTGTTAATGATTGATCAAGTAACATGTAATATTTTAACTACTCATAAATTTTACCTCCTTCAGGGCCCAAGTAAGGGGCCTCATCAGTACAGATGAAAAAATATTATTTTTGATGTTGATCGAAAAAAGAAAAACCAGCACTGATATGAATTCAACAGATATATATAAGTTTTCTTTTGTTCTAAAAATTTGTTAATTTTGACAACAATCTTGAGAAATAACGTCAGAAATTTGTACAGAATTGTAATATTGAATGATAAGAATCTTTTGCAATTTAAATGCACCGCATTTCTTAGAAGTATAACATATGATATTGAAGTTTCTGATGTTTGGAATCAATATATAATTTTTCTTTTATGCAGCATCGATTTCCTACGCAAATGAAATCCATTCTTTATACTCAATTACTATTTCAATGAAATTTTGGGTTTTTTTCTTTACTATGATTATTGCAACATTATATTCTCTCATAGATTTATTGTTATACATCGTACTTGTTTATATCAATGATTATTTCTAGCAATTCATTCAGATGTATAATTTATGCAAATTTATAATGGTATGTTGTAGAAAAATTACAGTATGTAATCATAATGATTACAAAAGTAAATATTGTTATTATAATACTTGCACAAATATCCAATTTATTTTTGATGATAAAAATCTATTTGTAGAGCATTGTGTTATTGTAGTGCTTACTTTAAATAGTTTGTTTTAATATTATTCTATGTTAGTTAAAACTAACTAGAGCTAAAGCAGTGGACACATTAGCTGAATCGTTCAGCCGAATCAATCGGCGCCGAATTTTATTCGGCCGAATGGGTGGACACACTAGCCGAATGCTTCGCCCGATTTAGCCTGCCGATTGCATCACCTTTCACGTCACATGATTAAACATGACGGCGTCTATGTCTTCAATCTAGCATGTGACTTCTCGATATGAGTGGTGATTGGCTAATGAATTCTATATTCGGCCGAATGCTTCGGCGAAGCGGACACACCAGGTGAATATAATTCGCCCGAATAAATATTCGGCCGAATATATCAAACCTGTTTGATTCGGACGAATCATTCGGCCGAATAGAAATTCAGCCGAATGTCAGTGGACACACTAGGCGAATTTCGACGCCGATTGATTCGGCCGAATCATTCGGCCGAATCATTCGGCTAGTGTGTCCACCGCTTAATGGAATTTGATCAGATTTCATTGTTCCTTTAAAATATACAAATATATTAAAGAAAATATACAAATACATTAAGGAAAATCTACAAAAATATAATTGAAAATGAACTGAGATGCAATGAGAACTCACCACTTTTATGAATTAATGATTGTAGATCTTGTTTTTACTATTCTGAATGAAACAACATCAGATCCTGATGACAGCACGTGCAAATGATATGCCAAGGTTGACCACTGAACACTGAGAATGTGCCATTGTGTTAATTCACAAGGAAGCAGCATTGTAACAAGAATGAAGAAGTTTTTATATACACCTAGTTGCATAAGCCTATTCCCCAATTCCATTCAGATATTCTGAATTTAAAATATTGTTTAAAAAAGAAAATGGAAAAAAATCCCTCAAGAAGTGATTCAGACTTTGTCTCCTATATACAATGATGTTGGATATCAATGTGTGGCTGCTAGAGTGAACATGCTTGTTATTGGCTCTTGATTTTTACCTCTTGTGTCTATGTTTCACTCTTAAAGTTATGGCCTCCGTGGATTGTTGTTGATTTTCTTGTCAGTAAATGGCCTGTCTACAATCATGCCAAAAATAACATTTCGACTGTTGATGTGTCTAGCCAGCACTTACAGTCAAATCAGTGGTCCGTTTTCATTGTCTCAATATATATATTGATTTGAAAGACTACAGTTTCTAGGAAATCTGAAATTACATGAGATCAGTCCAAAAATTGATCTATTGAATGAAACAGAATCAGCCTTCATGTCCGTGTCTATATGTTCTGTGTTTTGGCTGCCAAGCCGTTTCCAAAGTTCTAAGTTAATTTTAAAAATACAGAACAATATTAACCTATCCTTAACTGGATAAACCTATTAGATCTAATTATATATGCATTTTATATATTTTGATAAGTTATAAACATTACTTTTTTTAGTTGCAATCACATTTTTTACATGTTTTTGTTACATTATTCAGTATGATCTTCATGGTTTAAATGTGATTCTTACCATCTGCATTAATTAAATAGACTGGATTTAGTTTTGAATTAATGATGTGAATTATAAGATTCACTGTTACCGGTATATATATTGGAATAAATCAACAAAAGATGGTATATCATGCTAAGTACAGTACAAGTAGGCTACATGTACACATATCAAGTGCTTATTAGCAAATGCAGTGCTTTAAGAATCTTTGCTTGTATGGAATACAAACTATAATGATAAGAAATAATATACATTTAATATAATATTAGTTTATAAATGAAACTAATGAATTTTGATGAGACAAATTAAAGTAGCTAAGTCTCTAACTCAATATCATCCAAAATCTTCAATATTGAAAACACGATTTATTTGTCAAATTAAATCAACATTCATGTTGTGATCTTACCGGGAAAAGATGGGCTTTTGATATCCAATATTTAAGACAAAATAAACATTTTACCATTGGTACACGAATCGTGTACCATAATGCCCTTCAAGCCCCAGTTGTATCAAGAGACTCGAGAGACGAGTCTAGACACATTGCACCAAATCAAACAGCGCATGTAGACTGGAATAACCAGACGCTAGAAATTTGCACTCGCTTGAGACTGCTGGCTTATTTCGCCGAACATAACTGATTTGAAATTGGAGTAAAACGGAAACCATTGAATGTAAATCAGTTGATATACATTCATATTACAGTATTATATGCGTTGCGACCCACTTTTGTCAATTTCTAGGTCCCAAATGTTAGCGATTTAGCTCCTTTAATATAAGCCTTTGTCTTGTTTTTGAATCCTTACCTTTTGACAGTGTATGTATACAATATCTATCTTATTGGAATAAAATATTGTTTAAATCAATTTTGATTATGTATGTGTTTACATATAAAATGAAATCTTTAAGGTGTTTATGTTTTTTTGTAAATGCATTGATATGACATGTTGATATTGTAAAAATGTGACATACTTTTCTGAAACTCAATGTCTGTGGTTTAAACTGCAACTCTGTGTACTTGATAGGAACAGTTTTAGTTTTTTTCCTTTGACTTGGTATAGCAAATGATTATGTTCTGAAGTAGAAAATCTTTGATTATTTCCATACTGAAAGTTATTAGTGACATCACTACACATTTAATTTCTTAATAAGTTAACAAAATGAACATTAAGATTTCTATAGAGACGATCATAAATGAGCTTTAAAACCAGATTTATAACATACTTTTAATTATAGAAATGCATATCTAGGGATTAGATACATATTGAAAAAAGTCCATTATTATAATTATCTTTCCTTCTTAAACAGAGTAGTCATGTACTAAGTCAAAAATCTTCTTGAGTTAATAGATTCCCAGAATTGGGCCTTCGTGATGTAGTGTGTTAGGATGTGGGTCCTAAATTTTGATGGGACAAACAGAAAGATCCATGACAAAAATTAAAAAATATACAGAAATTCTGCTTTAGCTTCGTCAATCATATTGCAGTCCTGGCTTTACTCTTATCCATCAAATTGCAGACATATTCATTAGAGAAAACAGATTATAATCTAAATAGGATTTAGATTAAATGTTGATGGGAGTTAAAACCTCATTCAATCATCCAGTTCTTTTAACTGATAACTAAATTTATTGTCCTCTGCAGGGGATTATTAAAACAGGTTTTTACGTATTGGTCTGTCTGTCACACTTCCTGGGGAAACAATAACTTTGCTTCTAATTGAGGTAAAATGTTCAAACATGGTGTAGTTGATCATTAGGTGAATGGCTGAGTTCAATGATATGCATTTTTTGCTTATGTTAAATAGAGATCTGTCTTACTGTTCGGTTGTTATTACTATCCTGAATTTGTGTATGAAGTTGGAGTGTATAACATATTTTTTTTTACCCCAGTAACCATTGATTTTATCTTCTTATTGAGGGTAGTATATGCTTTTATTCCTTTTAAGATCGGATTTGGAATGTATAGTGTAAATGTATTTGAGACATTATTGCCTCTATTTGGCAATTGTTATTTGATTTTTCAAAGTAAAACTGAAATCTTGTAATTGTGGAGCATTTAAATAATTGTCTACTTTCTTTAAGAGACAAGTAACAGAATTTTCAAGATAAAAACGTACCTTATCATTGTCATATTCATCGAACTTTAATGACTTTGTAATTTATTATTCTCATATAAAATAGAACTTTTATGACTTAATGATTTATTGTTGCCATATTAAATAGAACTTTTATAATGTAGATTTTATACTATCATATTGTAAAGGGTTTGCTAGTATTTGACTGGTTTAGATTAAAAATTCAAAAAAGACCCCAAAAAGCCTAAGCATAAAAAACAAAGCAAACCATGATTATGATATGGTTTTAGACTTGTAACAGGATATCCTATTCACATTATTTCCTTCTGTTTCTGTGTCTTATACCTTTTGCCTTATAACTAAGCAATTTCTCCATGTCCCTCCACATCAGATTATACTGTAAACACATATTATTATTACAATTATATATTATTCATATCTACCAGCTTGATTTATTAAAATATATAAATTTTATAATTACTTACATATATATGTATATATATAGTGCCTTTGTTCAGTTCTAAGCAAACTCGTTATTTCCTGATGTCAAACTACCAAAAAACAAAAATCAACCACAAAGAACTGTAGACATGTAGAAGAGTAGTATCTTTTGGTATTTTTAGCAGCTTGACATCAAGGCATTTATTATTTGTTTTTATTGTTAAGTATATCTTTAGATTTATTTTTATGATTATACATATACTGTAAATTATTCTATGTATAGATAATATTAGAAAAGTTTAAAAATAGTATGACAATTGACCTTTTGGTATGTATGTATATATTATAATTTTTATGTTAAAGAGACTTTAAATTATATGTATATCACAGCTTGGCTTTCAAAATAAATATTGGTCGTTAATTTTATTATTAATATTGGCTTGTTTTCTGTTCTGTCTTAAAACATAGTTTCCAATCCAAACTCTTGCTTTGATGACATTTCATGTTGTGGTTGATCCAATCTCTTTAAAAAGTGTGTCTTGATTCATCCATGACTCATTTAAATATATGTTCCTCATTTATTGTCCCCCGCCGTTCGAAGAAAGCAGGAGATTATTAAAATGTGTCTGTCTGTCCTTGGGGCACAATAACTCTCCTTCTAATTGAACTAGAATGTTCAAATTTGTCGTAGGTGTTTATTAGGTGAATACCTTGATGGAGTTCGAAGATGAGCGATTTCTGCTTAGGGTAAGCAGAGATAAGCAATTTGATTGGTTGATGCTTTGCGACACGATAACTTTAGTTCTAAATTCTAATTAAGTGAGATTGATGAAATTTGATGTATAGTTTTATCATCATATCAATACCTTGACTAAGGTCAATGCCTTGATGAAGTGTGAAGATGAGCATTTTCTGCTTAGGGTAAGTAGAGATAAGCAATTTGATTGGTTGATGCTTTGGGACACGATAACTTTAGTTCTAATTAAGTGAGAATGATGAAACTTGGTGTATAGTTTCATTACATTAATCCCTCGGCTAATTTCGATAAGCAATTTGATTGGTCGAGACTTTGGAACACAATAACTCCTTCTAATTGAGGTAGAATGTTCAAACGTGGTGTAGGCATTCATTAGGTGAATGCCTTGATGGAATTTGAAGATGAGCATTTTCTGCTTAGGGTAAATCGAGATAAGCAATTTGATTGGTTTATTCTTTGGGACACGATAACTTAAGTTCTAATAAAGTGAGAGTGATAAAACTTGGTGTATAGTTTCATTACATCAATACCTTGACTATGTTCGATAATGAGCATATTCTGCTTAGGCTACGTGGGCGATAAGCAATTTGATTCGTCAAGACATTGGAACGTTACATCTCTGCTTTTAATTGGGGTAGAATGTCTAAACTTGATGTAGATGTTCATTAGTTGAATGTCTTGACTGAGTTCAATGATTAACATTTCCCCCTAAAGCTAAGCAGAACTAAGCAATTTCATTGGTCAGTGCTTTGGAACAAGATAACTTTGATTCTAACTGATGGAGAATGATGAAACTTAATGTATAGTTTCACTACCAGGTACTTCAAAACCTTGACTGAGTTTGAAGGTGAAAATTTTATGCTTAGACTAAGTATAGATAATTGCTCAACACTTTTGAAAAAGATAAATGTGCAATTAATCTATTTATTTGGGGATTTCGGCGGGAGACATCAGCCTCACTGTTGGCTTGTTTATATAATTCTGTATCATTTTTTTCCACCTGAAGTTAAGACGAAGAATATAATGGCACTGTTGATCTTTATGATATTTTTGCCTGGAGATAAAGAGTATAATGTTAGGTACTTTGAATGTAGAGTTTTGCCCTGAAGATAATAATTACCATTTTACCATATATTTATCAAGTGTTTATTTATGTAATCATACTGCCAGTGTTAAATAAGTAGTATTAATATGGTGTACAATCCTTACATCCCACTTCTACTCGTTGCCACTGGCAACCTTTGATAAAACTGTCCTGTTTAACATGCAGAAAAGTATCCGTGTATCAGAAATGTGCAGAAAGAGTATTGTTCATTTCTGATACACGGATACTTTTATACCGTTTTAGATACCTATCAAGCAAAAGGTAGCGGACGTTTAGTCCGACCCAGATCGCAATTGATAACGACGGCTCTGTATAAAGTCCACGAAACGACTAGTCAAAATCATAGTAACAAAACAAAATGGGGGGAACTACATGGCAGTTCAAAAACATATACAATGACATTAAATTAACATAACAACATATTACAAAAATCAATTATTATACATATCAATTGGCATCTATTTCATAATTTGGTTTGATTTATATTAATATGCAAAATATATAAATTAGAATTTTGAATAATTATTTTAATTAATTGTGATGATAGAAGGCGCAGTTCTCTTGCTTGACACTTCACAGGCATTGAAAATAAGCAGGATGAAAAAAAAAACGCCTAGAAAGTCATAAACTTTATTACAAATAAATTTCAACGGAAGAACCATCCGCCGATGCATACTTTCACCAGGAATGACCCACGTTTCGCATTTCCTTTACACTACATTTAATAATATCGCAGTCCTCTACGCCATAGACAAGTTTGTTTTGACGATGTGGTCTAAACAAACACGTGAATGTTTTACGCTCAGAGTATCATAGCAAGACGCACGTGTAAATACTACTCAGGTCGTCTCTCCACTGCGAAATCATTCTACCATGAAATGTAACGTGAGGCTCATAAAGGGATAAATAATGAAAGAGCAGAAAGTATTTGTCACTTTTCGGTTGAAACGACTCGATAATAAATACTATTTTTCACATTTTGCTTCACAATACTCGATAGAAATGTGATGTAAGTAACTTATTAGCACCTTTCCTCGGTGTATCGGTGAATATCAGGACAGTTTTGGTCGGGAGCCGCCTCGGCTGGGCCCCTCGACCAAAACTGTCCTGATATTCACCGATACACCGAGGAAAGGGTGCTAATAACTACTACTTAAACACAGATCTTATTAAGGGTTGTGAGGGGTTGGGTGGTCAAGTGATCTAATGCATGAGCTTTAGATAATGAGGTCTGTCATTGAGTCTAGTGCCATGGTTGTGATCCCAAGCTTCTACATGACAAGGTGTAGAGTCTCCTGCCAGACCTCTGGGTCCCCTGGTTTCCTGTCACTGCTAAAGAACCCCACACACAGGCGGATTATTGAAGTTAATTGTACCTATGTTAATCTCAAAATGACCTAGTTTGTGTAGAGTGGATGTCAAACCCCATTTCTCCCAATGAAATGGAATTAAATGGTGTTTAGTGTACTACTTTTCTGCACCAAATTGGCAAATGAAGAAGGGCATACACATTGTGGTCTACTTTGCCCAGTTAGCGGCTTTTCTGCCTATGCTTCATCAAATTTCCAAGGGACCTTGGGTTTTCCAGACCATCTGAACAACTAGATGCTGTTCTTGTCCAGTCCTCTAACCTACACCACCGAGAAGAGGAAACCACACTAGAAAATCTGGGATCGAACCTGTGGTACTGTGGCAAAGTCCCAAGAAACAATATTTTTTACTAACTCGCAAAGCTCATCAAAGCCCTCTTTAATTGATCAAAGCAATAGCAAGTGGACTCGGTTTATAATAAGGATGGCCAGAAAAATCCTAGGTATTATATAAACAAAATGTTGATGTACTTGATAAAAACAGGAGTATTTCAATTTATTATTCACCTAATATCAGGGTAAGCCATCAAATAGAAGTTTAAGTCAATCTGTATGAAATCATTTTAAAACTATTTCGTAATGCGGTTATTGATAAAAATGGGAATTGTTGTCCGTCTTTGAGAATTATTTCGGGTTTTTCATCTATAGTTTCAAGCTATCCAAATTATCTCAAAGCCATTTTCACTTTCAACCAAAATTTTAGTCAACATAATGTTAAGAATAGACCGACTACATTTTCTATAGGATGAAGTTCTATAGTATTCTGTAGGATTTTGGGGGCTGTAGGAAATATTATACAGTTTCTGTAGCGCAAATTCTGTAATTTTTCCTACAGATGTATGTTAAAATTTCTATAGGAAAATAATATAGTATTCTATACTATAGTGTTTCTGTAGTTAATTCTACAGTTATCTTTTTGTCTATAATCAAGTTTTGTGAACAGACTCCACAGTTGTCCCACTTTCTTCAGTTTTTTGTTAATACTAACTTCTATGAAGATGTAATACGTGTACATTGAATTTAAAATTTTAAAATACAGCATGATCAAACAGTCTTCGCTTGGATTACCTTAACCAGTCCATTACCAAACGGATAATGAAATTGACTTTCCAGCAACAGAAATTTAACGGGCCGTTAACAAAGGACACGTTAGCAAGATAACGATCCATTAGAGTTGAACGGATCGTTAAAATACTGAGTTTTGAGCAACCGGCCACAGGACACTAACGGAAACAGTTAATTGACCGTTGTCTAAAGATATAATACAGTAATCACAATTCTTTATCTGATAGACAATATTTCATTGTCAATAAGCCTGTCTGTTTCGTGTCGCGGGTTCTTGGCGTCCACATAAGTTCTGTATATATTAAATCCACCCACACGTATCGGAAGCATGAGCTATCAAATTAGACTTCAGATCAAGACATCCTTAAATAATTGATTTCGTGATATATCGTTATTATTCGTTATATATATTACAATTAAATATTATCGAATATGTATTAGTACCGTGTTTAACTATAAAAAAACCTATCTTTGCAATACATTGACTTTTCGTTGACCTTTGCTTGTATAGTCCTATTGGCGTAAATGGGCCCATTCTCAGTTAAAGGATCACAAGCTGCTTATAGGTGTTAAAAAGCAGAAATAAATAATCGAAGAGAAATCATAATCTGCTTTCATTTAGATTGGATTCAAATTATTTTGATAGTGGTGCCTCCTGTGGGTTTGAAAATAAAAAAAACTGTCCAGACTATGCGGGAATTGACTTCTGTGCACAACTGCCCTCATTCCCATTGCACACATATTTAATTTTTATATGCCCACATTTTTATGTGGACGTATTTTGTCGTCGCCCCTATCAGTCCGGATGTCCGTCCACAATTTGTTTGTGGACACTCTACAGGTCACAATTTTTATCTGATTTTGACAAAACTTGAAATATAGGTTTATCTCCCAAAGACCTCGGTTCCTTTCGATGTTGGCATGTATAGGATCGTAACTTCGTGGAATATGGTCCCGGATTGTACCAAAAATCACGTTTTTAGCTTGTGGATAATCTAGAGGTCACAATTTTTATCCGATTTTGATGAAATTTGAAATATATGTTTATAACCCAACGACCTTGGTTCACACATAACGTTTTGGATTATGGCCCCTGATTGAACGAAAAATCACATTTTTAGCGTGTGGTCCTTCTA